GTTGAACATCAAATTTCCCACATACAAAATGACAATAGATTGTGTTTCCATTTATGTGCACGTCGTGCAGGTTTAGTAAATGCATTATGATAGCGAAAAATAAGCAAGAGTGGAACAGTCTCATTACACAAATCCTTACTGATATCCTGAAAAATCACGAATAAATAGGTTATCGACTACATTCAGAAAATCGTACATACCATATAACTCATACAAGAAAAGACGCGAAGGGGTATTGGAACTTTAAAATGTCATGCTCAACAATTGTCGGTTGGATTGGAATACCGACAGTCGGGTTTCTCAAACTCAATAAACGAGGGAGCTAAATTACGTCTTTAAATCACATCAACTGTGAACTCAGTGACCAGTGCTAACAAGATAAAATCTTGACAGTTGCATACAAACTGCAAGTTCACATCGAAAAATTCTAACAGAGCCGCTTTTAATCAATGCTGATAAATGAGTCGGAAGTAAACTACAGGCCTTTTCTGGAAGTTCTAGATAAACTACTAAACTAATGATGTATTTTTTGGAGTTCCGGTTATTCGGAAAATTTTGCTCTAATTTCATCCTTTTTTATTTTGGAACAAGTCGAGTAAAATAAGCAAATTAGGAGTATCAGACAGTGGGGAACGTAACACGTAGTTAAATCCAACTCATCAAGCCAAATACAATGAATCACTGCAATCATAATAAGATTAGATCGATTTAGCACCCAGCTATTTTATCTTAGATAAGTTATCGAGTGGATCAACCTATTTATTATACAAATGAATATTATTCGTCTACTTGGGATGTTTTCCCAAGTGTATTATTTATATACACAGACCTTAACATTTCATGAGCTTTGAGTTTCACCAAAATCTTGGTGCTAAATCATTAACGCACCTGTCATTAATCTCCACAATCGACAATAGTAAAATAATCAATAAAAAATCATTCTTATGGGGACCTTCAGGGATTCACATCATATCACGAAGCTAACAAATTCAGATCTGTCTGTGTGTTTATTAGATAGACCATGTGAATGTAGCCACATAACACAAAATTTATTAACTTAAGTTTAAAAGATCCTCATATTGACACTCAGTCACCAAAACATGCTAGTTACTTACTACGCTAACCAAAGTTCAAAATACAATAACCCTCAAAGATAAAACAAAGGAATATTCGACTGCAAAAGTACTGGAACAGCACAATCGGGCCATAGGAAAACGTTGACATTCTAATACGTTTTGTACGATATACGAAAACGCAAAGACCAAAGAGAACCAAATGACCTACCCTCACAATTATTGTGACTTTTTGGATGCGGTACCTAACTCCGTCTAGAGCTCTACTATGGTTACTGCCGGTGGTCCCCAAGTCCGGATAAAAGAGGGGGTTAGGCAACAACAACAACCTAACAAGGGCAGAGAGAGCTAAAGCACAGGTCGAACACTGAGGCAAACACAATAGTGAAGAGGGCCATCACAGCTGATAAGCGAAAGACCTAGCAATGACAGCAGGAAAAGCTGGAAGAAGATATGAGACAACTATATAAAACAAGGAAGAAGCTGGAGAGGGAATATAGTAAACCAGTCAAGAACAAAGAAGGAATACCATTCACTGAGATTCAAGGACAGTGAAACAGGCGGGTGCAACACTTTGAAGAGCTCCTCAATAAACTAACCTCAGGACAGCATTCCTACAGTTGAGGGACATATGGAACTCAAAACAAATGTCAACTAACATCAAAGTCGAAATCCTCAATACAAACGTCAAGACAGTTCTATTGTACATAGCCGAAACTGGGAGAACCACCACAACCATTATAAAAAAAGTACAAGCATTTGTCCATGCGAGACACTCCAGATCCGTTGGCCGGATACCATCAACAACAGATCACTGTGGGAGAGAGCAAACCAGCTTCCGGATGAAGAAACGCAAGAGGTGGCTCGGACACGAAATTACAGGAATCATCAGACCGCATAACGAGGCAAACCCTGACGTGGAATCCTGAGTGTAATGAAGAGAGGAAGACCAAAGGACACATTGCGCTGGGAATCAGGGGCAAGCATCAAGAGAGTGGAGTGGCAGTTGGAAACAAATGGATAGGGTAGCCCAGGACAGAGTTGGTTGGATAGGCATGGTCGCCTCCCATGCTGCAGGAGAGGTAAAGGTATTAGGGCTAAATAGGTTTGTCTACCGGATATGTTAGTAGTGACTACAGATCTTTCAATAGATCCATCTCCTATATCAGCAACCTTGATTCTGTAAGAACCGATTGTCCATCGACGAAATTGAGACATGTCATTTTTCAATAATTAGCTGATCGAAACCCATTACTGTATATAAGGTTTTTGTACTGTGAAAACGCATTAGATAGCGTGGAGAGAACCTTACAGAATATACTAAAAAAACCAACAATTTCATAATTGGCAAATATCTCTACTTTTATACTTAATTCCGTGTTGGTTCAACCATGCGAAACTATAGAAAGTTATCTTTGAGTCTTAATCAAGGATCTATTTTTATTTCTTAACGATTCTTACAAAAAACTCTGGGTTTATTAGTTTTGAAATAGCATACGTAAATTTCTCACCCTGTATGAAACGTCCATAAAAACCCCAGATAGTAACATGAAAAGATAAAAAATAACTACTAAAAAAATTCATCTGTTTATTTCATCCCTATCTAGATTGAATAATCACTTCAACATATAAACAACACAAAATTTAAAACCGTTTGAAAAATTAAAAGATACGTGACTCACGAAGTTTGATTGATGGAACACTTAGTTTTTGACACAATCTTAGATGAACCGATATCATAAAAACGTGGAAAAATTTAAAATGTACAATACTGTTATTATAAGCGGTATACGACAATGAAGATCACAAAGTAAATGGTATCGACATGTACAAAAGAATAAAGTACAACACAACACTTAGTTGAATACAAAATTGAAAGAAATACGACAGTATAAGATGTGTAAATGTTTTTTCCTTAATTCTACTATTTATATTTAGTAGAGATGATAACTCCGAACCAGATGCCGGTTGGGAGAATGAATGTGCCCTAATCCCTGATTCCCTTAAATTTTTTATTAATACCCAAAGGAAAGTCTTAATTGTTAATCTACTTGACTAATATAACCCTTAATCCCCTATCCCAACTAAACCTAATTATCCCCGAGTCTTAGCCCTATATGAACACCCAAACTAGTACTCTCAGAAGTAAAAAAAGAATCATAAGACAAAAAAATAGAAGATAAGTAGACATGGAACTATTTGAAATTAAAAGGGTAGTTCAGTAGAGAAAACTATAGAAATACCTTAAAATAAAAGATAAAACATGTTGTGTTCAAACACTCTTTGACATACCAAAAAAACATGTCAAATATCTAAAAAAAACTCAGAAAAACATGTGCAAGTGAAAAATAAGGAAAACGGAGAACTGACAGCGATATTTCCAACGGATGGCGTTATATACGGCAGTGATTGAACCAACGGTGAAACATACAGACTGGAGAATTATTAAAGCGATATTTGTTCTTTTAATTTCATCTAAAAAATAAGTGGATATTACGATAATGAAATGGAGAATCATAACTAAAAAATCGAGAAACAATAAACATACTGAAAGATGAGATAGTAAATGACATGTGATGATTAATTTATTTGCACTGGTTTGTACCACTGGAAGGGCAATATACTTCTCCAGTACTTTGAATCATGTTGGGAAATTGCTTAGAACTTCTAGTTTAGTTACAATCTATAAAATGGTGATGGATATTTTACAATGTTAGTGACAGACAAATAATTCAAAGACCAAACTGGCAGAAGCTAACAAATGAACTGGTATTAAAGGCAAAACAACTGGTTGAAAAATGAGGTTTGCCTTTTAGTAAAATACACATTTGTAATAAACATAATTACATATAATAATAATTACATGTCATGGGACATATAAGTGGTTTTAGGAGATAAATTTTATGTCACTTACGTCTAAACGGATGAGAGCGGAATACTAAGGTTAATTATTACACGTTGTATCAATAATTGTATGAGGTGTAACACATGTTTACCAAGTTACGCTAAAGGTGTCTGAAACCAACCATCGTCAATCAATCATCTGTAATTGATCGGATGAAAGTAACACGTTACTTCTGCAAACATATCGTTTTCCCTTTAGTTACAGAGTTCCTATACTTACTTTATCAAGTATTATGTGATCATGTTGCATTGTCGATCGCATATTTTCTAAACATCAAAATTGCAAACTTAGCAGCATAGAACTTATGGATAAGACAATAGTTGTGCTACGAAAACACTGTCATTTGTACGGGAGCACAATGCTATCATGCATTCACATCTTAAAACATTTCGACTAACATTCCCGGCAATTTAACGGAGAAGCAGACTGACTGTAGTCATATTACTTACACATGTGATGCCACAGATGAATTAACGTTCTGTAATATGAAATTCAAATAAATTACATGGATACATCGTTTACTCTTTTATCCCGAACGGATATGTAAGTTGGGTAACTCGAGTAGACACTGTTTCTCTAGTGAGGAATAAGGTGCACGAGTACAATAACCAGATACTACAAGTTGGATTAAATTTTTTCGTAATATTTTAACAATTCAATGTAGTCTTTAAGATATATATATATAACAGGAAACCACCAGTACTATGAAAAAATGTGTAATATTTTTAAAAAACCTGTTTCTCAGTAACACAAGATGGTACACTTCACAACACGCTAACACTGACGAATTCAGCATCGATGAGATGGGTACTTAATATTTTCGATAAGTGACATTTCTTACCGCATTACATGAATCAGTTAACTTGGTTGATCAAAACACTGGGTGCCAGATGTAAGATAGTTAACCATACTCGAGGAAAAAACGCGAAGGCCAATTGTAAAAACATTGAATCGACGTAAAAGTGGGTAGGCGCGAACAAAAATTAGGACCAAACCATGCATTACTCAAAAATCAAAAAATCTCAAAGATTGTACTGAAGAGATAACCGTTCACGAAGCATTGGAGGACACTGACTCCAGAATTTACTCCAATCATCTTCTCCAACCTGGACTTTGAATCCATGTAAAATCTGATAGTTGAATAAAGATAACAAAACACGAGAACATTTTCCAGTCATCACACAAATGTAAGCGATTCAATGAAATTAAACGAATGTTTTCACATGATAGTGATGAAAACAACCGTGTAGGGATTAATGAAATGATCAACGTTTTTGATAATTCATTGTCCCGACTTTAGCTGCTACCTTATGGTAGCGGTCGGTCTTGTATGTCGCGATGACCCAACCGAAATATATTGACTAGGACACTTGTTCCATAATGTCCTAACATATAAGGCAAGTTGGCTGGAGAGGGATACGAATAAAAGCGGCAACTTATAATCTAATGGCAGAGTCGTAACGTTGGTAAAACAGAAGTATGATGGAAGGTGTCTTCCACAGAAGATTAACACCTGTAGTGATGCTGTCTTCTCGAGACGGAGGAAAGCGTTTGGAGGTTGGTCCTAAAAATATACACCTCACCTTGTTTCACAGACTTCCATTGCCGTTAGTAAGACTTTGGTGTATGCTACTTACGTCTGTCGACATAATCGGAAGTGGAAAAACTGGAAGCAGAAGGCTAAGATAGAGTTGAAGAAAGCAGAAAGGGAAATAGAGAGGGATTTCGAAGTCGAAGAATCATACAGAATGTGAAGGACAATTGATGGAAGTTTTACAAATAAAGTATTTAACGTATGGTTCTCATATTTTAAGGAGACATTCACCATCTCAGTCCTCGTTTACTACAAAACTTTCGAAGCACGGAATTAATTTCTTGTAAACTACCCACAAAAAACTCGATTTGACCAACCCCAAAACATTGACCGTTGGGCTCTGAGGCAACTCTTCCAGGTCACTAAGACTATTACGAGTAGACTAATTTTCTTCCCAGGTTCCTCAAGAGACATCTTTTCAAGATAGTCCAGTAATAAAAACTTTTTTTATACTCCTACCACCACCTGAGATCACCGTAAATAACTCAGTCATAGATAATGAACGTTTTAGGTCTTCATCAAGTTAAGCATTTATTACATGTCAAAATGACGAGTTCATTTGGATCACAAACACTTAATTCATTGATACTTACCAAGTTGAAAAACTCAAAAGTTAAATACAGAATGACTAATCAATTTAGATTTAAGCTTAGTTTTAACTGCATTCAGCCTGTGTAATTTATGGAATTCAGCTAGAAAGTTAACACCTAACATGGTTTCGACCAGTTTGACCATTCAGCCCTACATTTAGCATAATGTTAAGTAAACTGGAATATGTGAAATGCTTTAAACAAACTTTATTTCGCTAGGTTTACAACTATATTGACTGAAAGTCAGTAAGTTTTTGTAAGACCACTTATTTACATATCAATTTAGAAGCAATATAAATTTTAAACATCTTTGAAGTTAATATTAGCTTTTTGATTAGTAATTCTGACCACCTCTGTGTGGTAGAATAGCAAACACACATAAGTGTAAAGCGAGTAAACCTAAAAATTAGTTTTTTTTAAAAATAAACCATGTAGTAACAGATGAATTTCCTGACGATGCTTTACATATCAAGTAGCGGAAGGATACACTTACAGCATTAAATCTCTCTTTTAAATCGTCTTTAGGATTATTCCAAGAAGCTACAGCGTCACAAAAGAAAAGGAAATCATGCAAGACACCGGCAGGATTGAGCGTAATCAAATTACAAATACCACGAAATGCACTGTCTTTTTCTTCATTGTCCCTTATATTGCGCAAAAACAGACACCTGAAGAGCAAACAGAAAATCGACTGAGCATGTAACTAAAATAAGTAAGAACATTGAACATGAAATATAAATACGCACATAACAGCCAAATTATCCTGATGGCTAGTAACCGTAAAACTAAACCAAGTGCAAGCCTACACTGTTATTTCACGTGAGGGTTTTAAATAATTCAGGAAAATATTAAACACTCGAGGAACATCTGTAGTTAACCCGCCTTAATTTAAATATACAAACCTAAAAATTATCTATGGAATGAAACAACTTGGTATTATTTCAAAAATTTATAACCAGCTACAAACAGACCACAAAAAATGTATCAGGACAAGAATGCCAATAAACGCCTTGAAATCAGATGAGATGGACACTGAAGAACTGACAAATTCAGGGTTGGCTTCACGTTTAAATGAGTTATTCGAAATGCCAAGCAAAAAGGAAGAGAGTAAGTATGAAATCTAAGGATAAATATACGGAAGATTCCTAAGGAATTAATGTCTTCTTTACAAGGATGAAGATGACAGTATCACGCCAGCCTTAGCAAGTGGGATAAAACAATTGTAGAAAACATTAACAAGAAGTGCACAAAATTTAGAGCATGAAATAAAGTCGATATATTTTTTAACTCTATAGACTTCTGACATCTTCAAACATGGATTGATAGGTTATCGACTACATTCAGAAAATCGTACATACCATATAACTCATACAAGAAAAGACGCGAAGGGGTATTGGAACTTTAAAATGTCATGCTCAACAATTGTCGGTTGGATTGGAATACCGACAGTCGGGTTTCTCAAACTCAATAAACGAGGGAGCTAAATTACGTCTTTAAATCACATCAACTGTGAACTCAGTGACCAGTGCTAACAAGATAAAATCTTGACAGTTGCATACAAACTGCAAGTTCACATCGAAAAATTCTAACAGAGCCGCTTTTAATCAATGCTGATAAATGAGTCGGAAGTAAACTACAGGCCTTTTCTGGAAGTTCTAGATAAACTACTAAACTAATGATGTATTTTTTGGAGTTCCGGTTATTCGGAAAATTTTGCTCTAATTTCATCCTTTTTTATTTTGGAACAAGTCGAGTAAAATAAGCAAATTAGGAGTATCAGACAGTGGGGAACGTAACACGTAGTTAAATCCAACTCATCAAGCCAAATACAATGAATCACTGCAATCATAATAAGATTAGATCGATTTAGCACCCAGCTATTTTATCTTAGATAAGTTATCGAGTGGATCAACCTATTTATTATACAAATGAATATTATTCGTCTACTTGGGATGTTTTCCCAAGTGTATTATTTATATACACAGACCTTAACATTTCATGAGCTTTGAGTTTCACCAAAATCTTGGTGCTAAATCATTAACGCACCTGTCATTAATCTCCACAATCGACAATAGTAAAATAATCAATAAAAAATCATTCTTATGGGGACCTTCAGGGATTCACATCATATCACGAAGCTAACAAATTCAGATCTGTCTGTGTGTTTATTAGATAGACCATGTGAATGTAGCCACATAACACAAAATTTATTAACTTAAGTTTAAAAGATCCTCATATTGACACTCAGTCACCAAAACATGCTAGTTACTTACTACGCTAACCAAAGTTCAAAATACAATAACCCTCAAAGATAAAACAAAGGAATATTCGACTGCAAAAGTACTGGAACAGCACAATCGGGCCATAGGAAAACGTTGACATTCTAATACGTTTTGTACGATATACGAAAACGCAAAGACCAAAGAGAACCAAATGACCTACCCTCACAATTATTGTGACTTTTTGGATGCGGTACCTAACTCCGTCTAGAGCTCTACTATGGTTACTGCCGGTGGTCCCCAAGTCCGGATAAAAGAGGGGGTTAGGCAACAACAACAACCTAACAAGGGCAGAGAGAGCTAAAGCACAGGTCGAACACTGAGGCAAACACAATAGTGAAGAGGGCCATCACAGCTGATAAGCGAAAGACCTAGCAATGACAGCAGGAAAAGCTGGAAGAAGATATGAGACAACTATATAAAACAAGGAAGAAGCTGGAGAGGGAATATAGTAAACCAGTCAAGAACAAAGAAGGAATACCATTCACTGAGATTCAAGGACAGTGAAACAGGCGGGTGCAACACTTTGAAGAGCTCCTCAATAAACTAACCTCAGGACAGCATTCCTACAGTTGAGGGACATATGGAACTCAAAACAAATGTCAACTAACATCAAAGTCGAAATCCTCAATACAAACGTCAAGACAGTTCTATTGTACATAGCCGAAACTGGGAGAACCACCACAACCATTATAAAAAAAGTACAAGCATTTGTCCATGCGAGACACTCCAGATCCGTTGGCCGGATACCATCAACAACAGATCACTGTGGGAGAGAGCAAACCAGCTTCCGGATGAAGAAACGCAAGAGGTGGCTCGGACACGAAATTACAGGAATCATCAGACCGCATAACGAGGCAAACCCTGACGTGGAATCCTGAGTGTAATGAAGAGAGGAAGACCAAAGGACACATTGCGCTGGGAATCAGGGGCAAGCATCAAGAGAGTGGAGTGGCAGTTGGAAACAAATGGATAGGGTAGCCCAGGACAGAGTTGGTTGGAGAGTTATGGTGGGCGGCCTATGCTGCACGAGGTAGGGGCTAACAGCCGTATGTAAATTCATAAGTGGTAACTAAATCGGGGAATCATACATTCGTTTTACAACTTACCACTGACGAATGAAAGTGCTTAGATGAGGAGCCAATTCACCAGGACAAACAAAACCAAGACGTCCAATTGTTATCGCTGTATGTGAAGTAAATAGAACAAAGTTTATTTGCATCTACATAAAGTGTTTGTGAAATTAGCTGCATTTTGTATTTGACATTTCGGATCTATCTTATTTAGATAACTACGTAAAACCTGAAAATACTGGACAGTTTTGTTTTTGTATGGAGCTTCTCAATAGTCAGCGTGCACAACACACTCTGGATAGGACCCCAGATACTGGAGGCTTACGGCGAGCTCTTCACATTTAGATTACTAGGTTTCCATCCGATGGTTTGAACTTTTGACCTCAATTATATATCTTATAGCCACCAACCAAATCTATCAGTGGGCAAATCGCTTACTAATGACATTATTAGACTATTAGTCACGATTTTTTACTAGAGTTCTGGCAATTACCTCCCAAAAATGGGCATCCATGGGATCGAACGATGGTCGTATAACATTCTAAACTAACGGAGGCTAGAAGGTTAAGGGCTAGTTGCGGGTCCTGAAGATCCTAAATTTGGTACCAGAGGGCCTTGAATATTATTATTATTTCAACACATAAATATCGGTACAAGAGGGCACCAAATATATATGCGCCACACCATATTTGTGTGTGTGGACTGTGATACTGCCCGCGTGCCCAGACCGAAGCAGGTGGTTTTCTTAGGGGGCCACTCCCCGATCCTTTGACCTAAAGGTCTGATCCACAAGGCAGTGGAACATCGTGAGGGGATGCATACCCATGGTAGCCGGTGACCAGCGATTGGTTCATACGCCATTTGTTCCCGCAGGATACTGGAGCCCATGTGCACCATTGGTTTGGGATCCGGTTAAAGCGCCAGACATTCGCTTTTCGTCCTCTCATTTTCGTAAACAACACCCCCGCCACGAGAAGGCAATGAGTAGGACTTCCCTGGCAGAGGCTGTATACGCGCGGCCGTGTGAGAGCATTTCGAGAGGGAGGGCGAACCCACCCCACTCTCGGCCATACTAGGGCATTTGGGCCTTGAATAAGCGTCACCGTCATACACTAGGACGAAGCAGTTGTCCAGTTCTTCCTATTTTTTAGAGGTTGTCTAACCAAGGTCAACCCGTGATGTAAACTACATCCAAACTTTGTAAATACTGAACACTACTATTGTTAAGTCAAGAAAGATGTCAATCAGAAATCATATAGAAAACTACAGATTATTTAGGTTGGTAAAAAGTTATGTTACAATTAACAATAAAGAATGAGAGCTGTACATAAAGTGTGTGCCAATTCTGATTACCACCACTAGGAAAGTAATCATTTGTTGTACGATTAGGCTGAAAACAAAACACTAAAATTATTCGATCATTTGGTCTATTAGAGTGAGATAAACAAAAATACCCTGATCCTGACATAAACGTTTAGCGGTCGAAATCACTGCGCTTCACAAAGCCATTGAGACACTATAACTACAAGATGAATGGGATTTTAGTGACCTAAATATAAAAGTTAAGGTTACCCCTTTGTGTTGTTGTGAAGTGTAACCGTTATGTCACCTACAAAACTACAAATTCAAAATGCTGCTAATCTAATTACATTATTCTACTTGACAGTTATGTTTTTATCTGATCGTGGTGTCAATGAGCATTTGCGAAAAAAAGAGGACAAACAATTCATATAAACTCAGTAGTAAATGCTTATACAGCGCAATGAAATTTAGACCTATATGGGCGTAAGAATTAAATCTAGGAATTTTCCTCACAACAGTAAACTTTCCTGGGAATCAATATCATGAGAAACACATTGGTACGAAAATTTGTGAATATGCGACAAAAAGTTTACATACCAGTATTTTCGTGGAGTGTCTTAGGTGTGCTTTGACGATTGATAATTTCTATCAAGGGATGAATGAACAAAGAAGCAAACGGTGCCATCCCTTCACCTGAGAAACAAAAAACGCAATTATATCTCATATCAAACATTAGCAGTAAAATGTTTGGCTTAGATTGTCATGCTGATGCTTTCTTATTAGCAACATAAAATTTGACAATAAAAAACGGAATACATTCAGCCAGTCGATTGTAGGGACGACGAAATCTGGGACAAGTGTGAATGGTTTAAGTTGATATAGCATAGTAAGAGTAAGTTAAACTGGAAAATGAAACGGAAACAATGCCATTTTCTGTGGGGACGAGTCAGATAAAAGACCAAAAAATAAGAAGTGGTATCAAGTTTAATACTTAAAGATGTGGGTGGACTACTGAAATCTAAGATTTACAAATTTAGGGAGCTCGCAGTTGAATGCTGGTTTAGAGCTAATTTAATTCGTAGTCATCGAACTTGGTTGCTACACAGTAAGTTCGCATGGTTGGGAACAATAATTGGAATTTATGTTAGTTATATTTGTGTTCGGCTCTATTAAATTCTCCATACTACTATTACACGTATTGGTATTTGATGAGTAAGCACGTGCAATCTAAATATCAAGAATCCAAATCAACGAAAATTTACAAAGGACCCAACTGGTTCACTTTTATCTGTAACATTATATTATGAATCTGTTATGTCCTGACAAGAATAATGAATGGTAACTTTTGGGTTCCATTTACGGACCAATACTAAACGTATATTTCTATTGTATAATTATTAAGTAACTAAACTATGCATATTCATATTCCTCTTATTATAAGCTTTATTTTGACCCATAAACTATTATGATACGTTTTAACATTCTTGAGTTATACCCAGTATATTAATTACTACCTCCCTCATTCACAGCCACATCTGGTTAACTTTTCTACAAATGTTGTTTCATATTTTATTGGTACGTTGTGGTCTGTTTGATTGGTATATAAACTCAGTATGTTTGAAATATAATGATTCATATCGCAGAGGCTCGGACTGGTGTTTTGGACTTAATTGGCTGGGCTAGGCGGAAAGCAGGACCAATCAGAACTATAGGCTGCTCATACGGGTTCACGCGTCATTGGTCTGATCGATAAGTTACTGCTCTCTAATCGGGGGTCACAAGTTATAAAAAAATATATAAAAATCGTAAATACCATAACCCCAATTATCTAAATTTTGATCACAAATAATATTCAAAATGCTAAATACATGTGAATTGAATAACTAAAAATCACTCACCCAATTGAATACAAATTTCTCCGATTGCCCAAATAGCATTGTTACTAACAGATATATGCTCCGAACTGAGATTATTAGCCAAAATTGTCATAAACTGACCAATCTGAGGTTGGATGTGCGCAAAGCATGCTTTTGTTAAATCACCCAAGAGAGCAAAACTACTCTGGCGGACGTCTGGTTGAGCGTCTTGAGCTGCTTCACATAGTAACTTTACCAGGGGGCTACTTGATACTAAATGTTCCATCTGAGACCCAAGACCTTCCATAAGCCCACTTAGGAGATCCAGAGAAATCACCATAAAGTCTTTGTCTGGTGGTTCATATACATCTGGTTGTTGAGCATGTAGCTGTCAAAAATGAACATTTAGACATATTCAACGAAACAATTACATTAAGATGTTCACTGAACATCTAACAGTATTTGTATCCCAACTCTTATAACAAATCAAAGAATTATTCGGGTAAATATTTGCGCGAGTAAAGTCAACGTGGATTCAAAAGGAAACAAGGGATTTATAAATACGGGTCGCTGTTTCAACTACTATTGAGTAATTCCACAACGAAATTATTGACTGGAAAAATTATGATACTAAGGAACACCAAGATCTTTAATAACCATTTCAGAAACCGTCAAGTTAAAAGTTATATTTGAATTAGTCAATAATTCACAGAGATGGACTATGTTACTTTAATACGGGTAAGCATTTCTAAATTTTCTACATTAGCTAACGCTGTACAAGAATGGCTAAATGTACAAAAAATATGGAAGTTAACTGACTGCATTTTGCTGCGTCTACGCTTATAACTGAAATCAGTTGAAAGTATGTAAGAGATGAACACTATGGTTTATATCACCAATCTAAACTGTTTAGAAAATAAGACAAACTTACCTTACTGAGTTGTATTGTTCTATCAATTAAATTAACACATCGACTAAACACAGGAGAGCAGTAGGGTAGGAAACCTGTTCCTAGGGCAGTAGCCATGCTAGAAAGGCACTCCAGAAGGGGGAATAAGTCTTTCTCGTCATCTCGTAAAACGTTCCACTTCTCAAAAAGCGGTGGCATAAGCATCTCTATGAAATCCTTTGAGGAAATTACGAGATTAATTTAAATTTACCGGTCGATTGAGATGATGACCAACAGAATCTGCAAGTGTACCTATAGCATCATACAAAATAAACAAGTTTTTGTGTTGATATTGTTTAAGCGCGTACACAAGAGTTCGTAGGATGAGGTCCAGATATGGGACGAGATCTGTACATGCTTCTTCTTCTAGAGTAGCGAAAGCAGAACAGGCTGCCTCCTGAACACGTTTGTTACAATCCAAAATTCTTTTGAGGAGCTACAACAATCAAGTTTAAAGGTTGGCTTACCTCAACCATTAAAGGCTTGAAGTATTGTTCATGAGGTTGTCCAACGATCCAATGAGAATAACGGCTTAATGTCCAACAAGTTATACTACGTATGAGAGGTCTGTCATCCGACAGACAACCAATCAGGAACGGACATAACTCTGGAAGGTATGGAATCATGCCCTTCATACAACCTTAACGAAGTCATTTACTATAATGAACTAACCTTCTGCAATAGCACCAAGAACCAAAATACCAGACTCCTTAAGTTCCCACTGAGGAGAAAACAGAAGTTCTTTTGTGATTGGCAACAAAATAGGTAGAAAATCTGTGTGGAACACACTAGCCAACACATCAAGGGCAGCAGCAGAACATTTCCTGAGAGTCCAGTTGGAAACGTAATCGTCGTCTTCATCTTCGTCATCATCCTAAACAAAAACCACTAGAAGGATGATTGTATTTACCTCTGGAGAGAAAAGTTTATTTTTTGTCTTATGAAACCGTGGGCGAATATCGCATTCCTTGTCAGGCAGATGAGCATCTTCTTCTAAATCATTCTACAAAAATATTTTGGTTTAAATGTCTTACTCGAAGTAACACCATATCACTTTCTGAATACTTCATTCCACAAACTAACACTGGGATAAGTCGCCCGATATATGGCGACAGGGCTTGGTGGCACACAGGTTGTTCAGAAAGCGAGAGCCAAAATTCACATGCCTCTCTTGAAATATTTTCATCGTTTTCTTGAGTGCGAAGAAGCATAAACTATTTTTTTTCAATTAAAAACACAGCTTTACCTCAATGATGTCAGGTAAATTTGGAAGTAATTTATCCAAGTGAGCTTCCAGAAGCTGTACAAATGCAGAGCAAACATGTCGCCGGACATTTGGATCTTCATCTTCGGCTAAAGCGAACAAACACTCCAGAAACTCGTTAACAAAGTGTAGGAGAACCTGAGATTGGCTATGTATGAAGTGGTTGATGCATGCAAGAGCATGAGACCTAAATTACACGAAATTTTGTTTATTAGGTTTTTGAAAACTGTACTCGTTACAGGTACTGCATTAGAGAAATAAATAGAAGAGCAACTAGGCCTTAGAATAAGTAGGACAAAAGTAAGTCCAAAGATTTGACTATGATCAAGCTAAATAACCAAGAACGAATTGCAGGACTAGCAAAATACTGAGCGCATAGGTGAGTGTTGGTTCAGAATGATCAGCTTGCGAAACTAATTAACTGAGTTACTTACAAATTGTACGGTCATGGCCAACAAGCCGAAGCCTATCATTCTGGTGATTATTATTAAAGTATGTTGAAATCCAACAAGCTTTTTACACATAGCTACCACCTGGTAACATCGCTTTGAGCATTTGCCGGTATTAGCTCGATATTAAACTGAGTCACCAGTTTCCCGTAACAATCGACTGACGGTAAGATCGAGTTAAATCTACAAATACAAACTTTCAGTGACAAATGTTCGAGTAAATGATGCACTAACAAACGACATTGTATAACCCTACAATGAAAAACTGTAGTTTAATACGATGTGTACATTTCTAATTCAATATGGGAATTTTTATCTACTCGGTCTCAAACTAGATTCAAGTGATAACTCGCTGCTTAATGGAAAGTCAAGATTGGGTCAAAACTATGACCTCTTAGTCAAAGACGACCATTTTGGTATAGATAACAGTAAGCAACTTAAATGAAAGATAAACATATTCACGAAGACATTTTAGTGTAATTTATTACATCTTGCACCTGCACTAAGTGAACATCAACAAAAACAGGAAGCTTGAGCAATAAAAGTTTCACAACATAATGTAGATCTAGAAGATACTTGTCGCAGACTTAAAAGCGTGTTGGCAGCACTAGTTATAAGCCACTTTAGGTTATAAAAAAAAACATTTCGAAACCATTACGTTCGAACATGCAAACCTGCGACAGAAAGCCCCTAGACTTAAAGATCCGAGAGTGGAGACCAAGGAACAGCGCCATAATAATGTAACGTCAGTTAAAAATCATAAAACTTAAAATCCTCTTGAGTGTTCATTAGTGTAATCAATTGCGTTAATTCAGATGTACGGGAACAATTTTTGATGTGTTCTACAACTAGGTCAAAGCAGTTTAAGTCAAATGACACGCTACACGTTAAAATCCAGAGATGAACAGAACCCTCGCCTACACACGTTTTTACCAAGAAATTAACTTTAGGGACCTACTACCGGTTTGGGCACCCGGGCAGTATCACAGCCCTCACACATATCGAATGAGATTTGTGTGGCGCATATGTTTTTGGTGCCCTCTTTGTACCAATATCTATGTGTTAAAATAAAATAAATAATAAATAAAACCTACTACCGGGACGAGTCGTCTATATCATTAAATAACCCACTAAAACAATAGATATTTGAGAGTGAAAGACCACTACAAGCTCCCTATTGCAAAAGAAAATATATTAGCTGGATCTGATAGTAAGCTTCACGAGTACGTAACAAATATGAAGCATATCTCACCTGATTTTTGGACTGTCATGTCTAGAGTATTGTAAGAATTTCGGAATAAGCAGTCCTATAGGACAACCAATACGATCGGTTTCCAGTTGAGATGAAGAATCTTCGCATATTTTCTCGATCGCGCCAAAAGCACCCTAGAGACTTATTTAGTCATCGACATAACGAACCTCCATAAAATTAATATCATGAGAATCAATACATTCCACCAACTTTGGGAGCAACTCTGGCCAATTTTGTATACCGTCACTAGTTACAATAGTGGTAATAAGAATTCCGACAATTGATCTGATCATAGGTGAACTATCACTGATGCACCGTAAACACCCATCCTTGATGTAGCTAATAAGTTCAGGAGGGCATCTCTTAAAGTGACTTTTCAGATTATTTTTCAGAATAAGTCCACTAAGAGAACGCGTGCTGTCACCTGGACAATATTTATAGTTAGATCATATTTTAAACTTACTTTCCGAACCTGCATTTGTCAAGATATAAGCTAGGTATTTGTTAAAATCAGGAACATTGTTCAACTCATTTAATTTCTAAAACCGTTAAAGGGGGAACTTGATTAACCTCATGCACAACCCTTTGAACGTTTGTGTCAGTTGATTGGGAATTATGTAGCAAATCCAACGTTTGCCGTATCCCATCCTCATCTGGGAACCAACTCATCTTTACGAAATAACCGCCGACTGTCTTCAAAGTGTCGTCTAAACAATATTAATTCCTCAAAGCCATAAAAGTATGTTTCCTTTGACTTAAATGATCAAAAGTGGATTTCCGACGGGTGTTCTTTCAATTTTCGGCTTTCATCATCAGGCAGTGGAGTTAAGGTTTCTCCAGTGAGTAGCACACAAACCGTTCCGTTATCAAGAATCTTACCGAGGATAAGCATGGCTTTTCAGTGAATTTACAGACGTCAAAACCCAGAAGATCCACTTTTTATTCAAAAGTGTTTAACTCATATAAATTTGTTTTGTACGTATTTAAAAGACGCATGTCACGGTAAATATTTCCTCAAAATGAATACTTCAGTAAGTCTACAAAATGGAGACCGACCTCCTTCGTTTTACTACACACACCCTGCCTGAAGGTTCTTGATCACCCAAACGCAAAACCTTGCGAGTGGGCGCGCCCTATTGTGTGTCCTTTGCAACTACTGTATAGCTTAAATCAAACGCTTCTCACCAAATCGGCGACTTCCCAAATAAACCTTTGGGCTTATTCACCTCTGACTTCTGATCCGACTGGGAAAATATCACTAAAAATGTCACAACCATTGGGAGTTTTATAACGCTTTTGCCAGCAACACCTTCATAATCGAAGTAAGCCAACCCAGTTAGATCAAAGTCAGGAGTGAAGGGGTTCGAAGTTATATTTGAAAGGGTATCGAGAACTCGAGAAGCGTTTGATCTAAGCTGGTTAACAGTTGTAGGAGATGCTTAGTGCCGAGTACCTACTGGCGATTCGGTGTGGATATGTGACCGAGCGCCTTGAGCTAGATGTGTCCATCAAAACCAATGCGATTACCATCAAATGTCGAAGACTTATAGAACTATTCATATTGAGAATCTAATTATCGCAACATGTCTTTCGATTATAAAGGTGTTACAGGCGATAGCGCCGTCAGACCCGGAATATCCGAGGCATCCTTAGGCACATAAACGAGCTGGAAACCGTAGATGATAAATAAATGTCGAATTCACTATTTTCTGAATCGTATTCAGTTTGTACATATTTCATTATTGGTTGTAAATCATTTAGTGTACACTGTAATGCTGCATTCTTGGTGTTCTTACGTAAAACCTATTGACCGATACTTAAAAATACACTATTTCTTAATTTACTATTCCTTTCCAACCCTTTTACATCCAACTTGCTGGTTCAAAACCGACCGAATGAAAGGTCCCAATGGAGTTTCGGTTTTCCCACTGTTAATCTTGTGTGATAGAGCTAACATACTCTTCGGGCACGAGCATCTCCATGTTGCGACCCAGTTTTTGGTTAATATTGTGCCTGGATTCCCAATGCATGACTGGAGCTCAGGGTCAGCTGGGATATCTAGCGAAGGTACTTATGTTCTTTACGTCTAATGATGTTACCTGGACAGTTGGTGTCGACATTTTCGTTAATATTTGTTGTAACAACTAATTAAATTGTTGTAACTGCCGAATAAGCGGACTCCTGAGTCATTGCTTATTCATTGGTTTTGGTTTGGATGTTATGGACAGTTAGTTGTGCTGCGCTTTACTCTCGACTTTGTATGTGGATACCAGGCTAGCAACTCAGTAGAATCGTGTTAAAATACCATTGGCTTGTTGGTGCTTGGCAATCGTTTGAAGTCCAGTCGTACTCAGAAGTTTAGTTAAGAATTGTAACAGTCCAGATACTGGTTGGGATCAACGTGAAGCAATGTCAACTTGTTTGAAAATAGCTTAATTCATTCTTTTTTTATAGGAGCCTTACCAAATGTAAATTCAAATGGTTCAAATGGTTCAAATGGTTGTGGACGGAATAGAAGAAGCTTTCGCTTAACAGGCTTCCGTGTCTAGTAGCAGGGGATCACCAAATCCTCCAGGCAGGAACCTAGGTATGGTAACAATAAAAGAGGAAAAGAAATTGGTAAATCATAGTGCGATGCTGTCCTTGGTCCTTAAGAATAGGTCAAGTTGCCTCTTGAAGGACTCCTGAGAAGTCGCTTGGACTAGCTCGGCCGGCAGCGAGTTCCAGCTTTTGACAACTCTTAAGGAGTAGAAGTTGTGTCTACATTCCGTCTTGCTATGTTGTGTTTCCAGTTTCTGGGTGTTACCCCTTAGGTTATTGTTCGGACTAAGCTTAAGTAGGTGTTTAAGAGGATGTCCAGAAGTGTTAAGAATACTATAAGCCATTAATAAATCACCTCTAAGACGCCTATATTCTAGTGGGTAAAGGTCTAGTGAACGGAGGCGTTCTTCGTAAGGCTTGGATTTGAGTCCTCGAACTGATTTCGTGGCTCGCCGTTGGATACGCTCCAAAGTGACCTTATCCTTTTGGAGTGAGGGGGGGAGTACTATGTTTCCGTACTCTAAATGGGGACGGATGAAACTATTGAAGATTGTGTGGAAAGTTCTTCCGTCAAACTGGCCAAAAATGCGCCTCAACGTTACCAGTGCAAGGTTTGCTCGGAAGGCATTTTTGTCACAGTTAGCGTAAGACTTTAAGTCATGGGGCACCAGGACTCCTAAATCTTTTTCGACTTGGGATACTACTAGAGAGGAGTTTCCTAAGTTGTAACTGTAGTTTGCGACATGTCGCAGATGGACTACTTTACACTTTGAAGTGTTAAAGGTAAGTCCGTTATCGTCTGCCCAACTTTGAAGTCGAGTCAGATCCTCTTGAAGTGCCTGTATAACGTCTTGGTTGCGTATCTCTCTCCAAAGTTTCACGTCGTCGGCAAAAAGTAATAAGTCTGACGTTACCTGTTGAGGAAGATCGTTTATGTAGATCAAGAAGAGAAGAGGCCCTAGTACTGAGCCCCGGGGGACCCCACTAGGACATTCCATAGCTTGAGATAAAGTGAAATTAACCCTAACCTTAAAGTGTCGATTTTTTAGGTATGAAGTAAGCCAGTCGATTAGAGGTGGTTTGATACCTAGTCGTTTGAGCTTGTTGATAAGACACAAGTGGTTAACCTTATCAAAAGCTTTTGAGAAATCAAGGTAAATGACATCAACCTTTCCCTTGCGATCGAGGATGCTTGTCCATCTGTCCACCGCAGTCAGCAGGTTGGTTATACAAGAGTAACCCTTCCTGAAACCATGCTGTTGGGGTGAGAAGGAATTTAAGGACAGTAGGTAGTCATTTAAACCGTCGCATATCAGGGACTCCATGAGTTTTGAAGGTAACGACAGAAGAGCTACCGGCCGGTAACTTGAAGGTTCATTGCGTCGACCACCTTTGAAAATTGGTGTGATGTGAGCCAACTTCCAATTTTCCGGTAGTTTGCCTCGGCTAAGCGAGTGTGAAAACATCACGCTAAGCGGCGTTGCCAGGATTGAGGCTGCCTCCCTCAGTATGGCAGGATGAACCATATCCGGGCCAGGAGAAGTGTCAAGTCTTAAGTGCTGCAGTTTCCGGAACACCAAGTCAGCGCTTAGGTCCACTTCAGAAAGTCCTGTGGAATTGCAGATGAAACTGTCGTCAATAAAGTTGATATCAGCCGGTTGAAATGTTTGAGAGTAATGGGCCGCCAGAAGGTTAGCGGCGTCGCCATCGTTGTTGGTCGGGCCGTTAGGACCTAGCAGTTGAGAAACTCCTGTTTTGGCTTGACGAAGAGAGGCTGCATAACGGAATAGGCTTCTAGGGTTAGAGGCGAATTTGTCCATAAGCTTTGTTTGGTACTGAAGCCTGTCTTCTCTTATAGCCTTCGTGCATGTGTTCCTGATATGTTTGTATTGCCTATACGCTCCATCGTTATTAGTTCGTTTGTATTCCGCCCAACAGTGCCGTTTGCGGCTTAGGAGGCGAAGGGTACGGTTCTTGATTACTGTAGGTGGCTTGAAGCTTTTGGGAACCGTTTGAGGAACTGAATGGTCTGTAGCACATAAGAGCGTGTGCAGCAAGAAGTCCCAATGACCATCCACATCGATTTGAGGGTGAACATCCCAAACCACCTGTTGTAGATGGTCATGTAGAGCTCGCACATTCAGCCGTTTAAAATTCCATCGCAAATTATTGTTGGGATACCTTAGCTTAGTTTTGATGACAAAACTGAAGGCTATGACGGCATGATCGCTTTTTCCCAGAGGAGCCAGGATTGAGAGGTTGTCGACTAGGAATTCTTCGTTAGTGAATACACAGTCTAAGCGCGATGGTGTTTGACTGTTTCTCCAACGAGTTGCCGACCTCACATTTTCATATAAGCCCAAGTTATCGATGAGGTTGAAGAACCGAGCTTCAGTTGAGTTGTCGCCTCCAGTGTACGTGTGTTCCGCGAAGTTGACTCTAGGGAGATTAAAGTCCCCTAGAATCAGGATGTGTGTGAAACCGAGACGGATAGAGCGGGATAGTCCTTCCAGCATACGACTATCGTACTCGGTGTCGGCAGTTGGCTTCCTGTAAATGACTCCGACTAGACACCTGGAAGTACTAGACAACCTTACAGAGCACCATATGGATTCCTCAAGATTGTTAAACTCGAGGTTGTGAACCTGGTGCACCTCCAAGCAAGAGCTTATGTATATGGCTACTCCGCCCCCAATTCCTATTTTTCTGTCGTTGCGGAACAAAGTCATCCCAGGCAATGCTAACTCTTGATCCGAGAACTGAGAAGATATCCAGGTTTCAGATATTCCTATCAGATGGGCCTTGTTAGCGTTGCTAAGTTCACGTAGTTCATCCAGTTTGTTTGGTAAACTCGCGGCGTTCATATATAAGCAGTTTATGCTTTCTATTTGGAACGCATGAGCTTCGTCCTGTTTTTCTGTATGAACCTTATGTGAATGGACAGGTAGCCCACCTATATGAGGTTTGCCGAGGTGGTAGGCCCTGTCCTTTACACGTTTTTTTGTCGTTTAGACAGTCCACAAGTGGAATGGTCAGCTCCAACTTGCCTTTGTTCTTGGTCCTGACTTCGTATGGCCTATCCGGGTGCATGTGGATTCCAGGTGGCAATCGACGTCTATTAGCACGAA